GCGTTGATTTACGTACTCATGTTGCACTTCTGCAGTAAATGTGCAGGATCTGACGAGTTCATTTGATGATCATCTTGGTGCGTAGGCACAACTGTTGAGGAGACTTCATGTGAGTTGCATTCCAGGCTATGCATCGCAGTCCACAGAGTCTCCATCGTACTATTTATTTTATCCTAACTTATTTACATTCTAGACATATGTGTTATTATTATTGTACTCCTTAGTAAATGCTCATGCACTTGTGACACCGAATTTTGAGGGTAACTCCCGGGTGTTAATTATTGTAGTTCGTGTAATTATTATCATTTCACGTTATAATTTATACCTTATAAGGGAATTGAAAAATAAAATCACGGATTTTCTACGAGTACTAGATTTTACACTGCTTATTCAATGGGATTCATGATTTCAAAAATAATAAAATAAATAACTAAGTTGATTAATCACCGGTGGCTTTCCTGACGGTGGTGTTAGGCGCCATCACGACCTATAGTGGATTTTGGATCGTGACAATTAAGAAATTGGTGTCTTAGTATACAGGAGAATTAGTATTAAGAAATTGGTATCTTAGTATACATGAATAGATTATTCGGTTACAGAAGATATCTTCAACTATTTCTATTAAATTCAAAACTGCAGCTTGTGGTTTCTCACAAGGATCCATGCATGCTAAACTGTAGAGATTCTTAATTAACTTATCATTTCCAGGCTTCTGTCCTATAAAAATAATAGATAAGTTCAGCATGAGCTTCAACCACCTTACTTTTCCTTCAGGTTTGTAAATCCTTTTGTTCAGTGCCTAAATATATATTACTAAGAAGAAATATTACATAACAAAGTAGTTCTCAGAATTCAACGTGTTTCAAAAATGCCTTTGATGGAGGTCTTACAATAGATTTACTGTGTTTGAATCTTTTCTCTTCTCCTCTTAGTTCATGTTAATGTTTTAGGATAGACCGCTCCTCTTTTTGTCCTCTAAACTAACTGAATTCATGATTGCTATACTGCATATACAATTCTTACCAGAAAAAAACCTTTTGATAAGTGCCTTATTAGTGAAGATTTAATTATATAAAATATTGTATTGATTCAAATAGGTCATCTAATATGTAAAAGAGCATATGAATCTTATAGTAGGTTGTCGTTGTCTTTCTCATCGCATTTCTACTTTTTCATTTTGGTAAAGAATAATATTATGGGTTTCCATTAGTCTATGTAATATATGCCTTTTCATTTTCTTAAGAATAGGATAAACCGCTTTTAGTGTATTCTCGGTAAGCAAAAGAGCCATCTTTCTTTTCCCTTATGTGCACAGTTGTATATCAATATGAGAATTCAATTCTATGGGATATATTGGATCAATTATTCAACAATGTATTTTATCTACAACCTTCCAATAACATAGATATGGGCTTAGAGCTTGAAGTTTGAACCAATCCTTTACCTTCAAGGTAGGTGTTGAAAATTAAAGGTATGAGATAAGCTTCTTACTTTGAGTTGGAGACGGGATTAGTTTTAGTAGGGGGATATGCACAACATTCAGTATGCTTAGACATGACATATGAAATTTTTACATTTTTTAATAGCATGTAAGTGGCCACTGGCCCTACTCATAATAACCTCTCTATTTGCTTATTTTTACCACTTCAGTTTTTCATTTAACTTATAGATGTCTAAAAGAATTATTATTCATCAGAAGTTTTGGGTAGACTATCTTACTGCATGTTTAATTCAGTTTTGGGTACCCTAAACCTATCAATGATTAGTCAAAATCTTTCAAAAATGGATTACCTTTCTATATCTGGAGATCTGCCACCCGCAATAGGCGAAAGCTTGATGTTGCAATTTCGTGAGAAACAAGTTTCTATCATGTTTGATAGATCATAGTTCTCTTGATTATTATTTTGTTGTCCTTTTGAAATGTAATAACAGAAGGTTTGCCTTTTCTTTCCTTTGCTTTGCATTGATTATCCTAGATTTAACTTAGTATGTTATCTTTTGATTTTAATTCTTAGGTTTCTTTTCTTTAATGGATGCCAAGGTGAAAGTATGCGCTATCTCAATTGCACCATCAACTTTTGTGTTAGTTGGGACTACCAACATGAACCTGATTAATCTTATTCTTTGTCTTTCTCATTGAAAACAAGCCCAAGAAATTAATTAGCAACTTTGTTCTGCAAATGAAAGTAGATAGTATGGGGTGTATTATATTAATACTTGGTCAGTTTAATGGTTCTTTTCCCTTGTAAAATAAGAAATTATCTTTCTTGGTATCAGACCTCTTTTGTAAAGCAATTTCGCACGGGCGCAGACTATCTGGGGATTAATATAGTGTCTTGTAAGAGGATTAGGAGTCGGTAAATTATTATTTTGAGACAAAAAATTATAGGTGATAGAAGTGAACATCCGAAGAGATTTGTAGAAGGGGAAGAATTTTGATTTACATAGTGGATAAGCAACTCAACCATAATCTATGTCATGCCTAACGATAGCCGGGGGCGGCCCGTCCATAAAGCGGGTAAAGAAATTGCTTTAGGCCCCCACATTTATGGGCGCCCATTTTTTGGTTATGCCTAAATTATATATATATATATATANACGGGAAGTTTGAACATAAATTTGAGATAGTGGACCACAACTTTCTCAAGCAAAACTTTGTCGAGCAAAGTGAACACAACGTGTGCACTAATAGCACTATTCCACTATATTATATTTTTATACTTTGTTCTTACTCCATTATTCAATAGCCAACATTACTCCATTGCTTCAGCGGAAAGAAGTTTTTCAAAATGAAAATTGATAAAATCTTACATAAGATCAACAATATCTCAAGAGAGATTAAATGGGTTAGCTATATTGTCAATTGAGAAAGACTTATTAGAAGAAATTGATTATAAGAAAATTATTAGTAACTTTGCATCTAAAAAATCTAGAAAAATTGACTACAAATAATTAAAAAAATTAAAATATTAAGGCCCCTCATTAAAGTTTGGCTTTAGGCCCCAAAATACGTCGTGCCGCCCCTGACGATAGCCGATGAAAAATGCTGACATCAAAGTAATTTAATATTTCATGAACAATTAAACAAAATTATATTAAAAGACAAACAAGCATGTGCCATAATTAAGAACTAATTTTTTAGTAATTAATTAGGCTTTTTATTAATCAACAAAGCAATTACAAATCATTAGCTTAGCACAACTCAGCCAGCTATTCTAAAAAAAAAAAACAGGAAACACAATCAAAGATCCCAGCTTTCCTATACAACAATGCTATGTGTAGATTAAGAAAGAAACTTAGAAAATTAGCTTTTGCAATAAGCATTTCAGCTCCCGAACAACCCTGCAACTACAAATACATGTTATATCTTTTGCCACTCCTTTACAATCTCTAGCCACCCCTTCAAAAACACTTGCATTCCTCTCCTTCTATATGGCATATATAACTTCAACACATATCATCTTAATGAGTTTGGCCTTTGCTGTCTTCACCTTGTATACTTTTAACAATCTCTTGAAATTGTAGTTCCCAGTTACTGCCACCATAAAGTTGTTGTTGTGCCCACTTGCTGACTATGTTTCAAATTTCCCCCCAACAATCTCTTAGATAGCTTCAGAATCCTGAAGATTGACCCCCAACAATGATTTTATCTCAATTATTTGTTTATTCTGTTGCTTCTCTTTCATTACAGCTGAAAAGTACTTAGTATTTTAATCCCCTAGTTTGATCCATGTGGCTCTTGACTTCTGATGTAGTGCACTTTCCTCTATCAAAGACCATTTTTCTAGTTGGATCATATAGTAAGCACCCCCAGTTCTTCTTGAATCTTTTTCAGGTTTGATCTTGCTTAGTTCATCTTTTATGTAATCCCTTTGAACTCTTCTAAGTTCAACTGTTTAAATGTAGGCTTCAATCCTTTCAATTTGAGCCAAATATTCTTCATTTTCTCTGTAGCCTTGTTTCTACCCCGCTTTGTTTCCATAATTTACTTGAATTAGGGGTGTTCTATCCAAACATTAAAGAACCTGAAAGGAACTTTGATGTTTCTTCTGGCTTCTCTCATTGGGATGAGAATGGGTGTGTGATCAGATATGAAGGGTTCTCCATATACTGCAGTCAAGTACCCATATTGAATCATTCATTCATCATTGGCAATTACCCTATCAATCCTGATACACATTCTATCATCACCTCTCTGTTCATTTGTCCAAGTGTAATATTCCTCTTTCCAAGGAATATCATTTAAAAGCAGTGTGTTGTAACATTCAGTGAAATCTCTTAACTCAGCTAATGATACAGTTGTTCCAGATAACCTGTCACTGGGGTGTAGGATTGCATTGAAGTCCCCACTAATTAGCCAAGGTTAATTGATCATAGGTGTCATTATTTTCAATTGATCTCATAACGCTTTCCTTTTTTCCATTGTATTAAAGCCATATACTACTGTAAGTATACAATCTATTCCATTCTGCCTTCTTGTCACCATACAATGGATAAATTAACTTGTACTAGCTAGATGTTGTATGTTGTAGGCTTTAGCATCCCATACTACCCATATTCTTCCATTCTTTTCATCTATGTAGTTGCTTATTCTCTCCTTACCAGGAACAATCTTGTTGGCAATCTGTGGTGATTTGTTTTCTTTCACTCTAGTTTCTAATAGTCCAGCTATATTTATGTGATTTTCTTTGAGATATTGCTTTAGTTCCTTCTTCTTGTACCTCTTATTTATTCCTCTTATATTCCAGATAATCCAAGTCATTAGGCATGTTGTTTCCCCCTCCTATATCAGTGGGTTTCTCGCCTTCTTCTTTGTGTCCTCCTTCATGTAGCACTTGAAATCCATTCTTTCTTGCAACAACTACATCTTGGCTTGGCCAAATTAGGTTGTTTGTTTGTTTTTCTAGATTCTTACTCCCACTTGTTGTTGGATTATCAACTTGTTTGTGAAGCTATGGTGTTCCTTTTAGCTTAACCTGCATCCATCCTTCTTCTTTAGTCTATTTTCCCTCATTGATAGGTTGGTAACCCTTTTGATCTGTAGTAGGAGGTTGTATCATCTGTCTAATTTGCCTCCATGTAGGAACTAGTCTTGGTCTCCTTCTCCTTTGCAACTGGTCTGCCTTCTCCTCATGTGGAGCTTTGGCACAATTATGTCCTAAGTTTAAGCACTTGGCACAGAAAACAGGCTTCCACTCAAATTCAATAGCCGATTGAAATTGCCTGCCAGAGGGATCTTTCACTGTTATTTCATTAGGTAGTGCCTTTGTGACATTAACTTCAATGATAATTCTAGCATAAGAGACCCTAGTCATCTTGGTGGTGCATCCATCAGCAAATAAAGGGTTTCCTAGTGTGCTAGCCATCCTACTCAATGAGTTACTCCCCCAGCAATTCATAGGGAGATTAGGGAACTTGACCTACAGAGGAATTTCTATCAGGAACTCAGCTTTAAAGTCAAAATCAGGAGTCCATTGTTTGAGAATAATTGGTCTGTTGTTTATGGTGTATGGCCCTCCATATAGAATGTCTTGCACATCCTCAATACTCTGAAATCTAATAATATAATAACCCTCTTCATGCAGATAAATTTCAGGTTCTGCAACATCATTCCAATATTGAGCAACATATCTACAAATATAGTTATAACCTGGCTTTTCCCCAATCACATACATGAGTGATTTCCTCCATTTTTCAATTTTATTTTCCACCTCTGGTTTATCTAGGTTAACCACAAATTGGCCATCCACAATTTCAGGCAGGATATAGGTTAGGTTCATACCATGTTCAACTGTTCGATTTCTAGGAAATAAGGTTGTCCATGGAGCTTGAGGTATAACTTTTGGCGCTGAAGTAGGTGGGTCAACTTTCTGTTTGCCTTTGTCCAATGGAATCTCTAGTCTGCCCTGCATTTCCTCCATTATAGTCGTTGCCCTAGATTTCCATTTGATTGAGTGGTGCTCTTAGCTAAATTAGCTGAATTTGGTACCTCAATCAGTTGATTTGGGCTCAAATTATGCCTCTTCAATGCCGTTATTTTTGCATTCTGCGAATCCAAATCGAGTGACCTAGCTGGAGGGTTCCCAATTTGGATCACTACCTTTTGTGTACTTCCTTGCTCAAGAGTTTCTGCAATCACATTTGCACTAATTAAGCTTCCTATAGTAACAAGTGGTTGATTTTTGAATGGTCTCCTTCTCTTCTTAGCCATGGCATCCACAGGTCGGTGCAGGTTAGCATAACCTACGCCGAGAGCAAAGCTAGAGAGAACTAATTAAAAATGCATATTTCTATTAGTTTCTCTTAAAGTTTAATGTTAGGTTCTAGTCCAATTGCAGCTAGCGACCCTCCGTAAAGACTTAAAGACACAAAAATCTCATCAATTTTAGAGGCAAAATCCAACTAGTTCACAAACAGGTCATAAATGGTTCTCTTTATCCCTTTCCTTACTAGTGTAGTTTGCTAGTCATATTTTTGTTTTTTTTTGTTTTCCCTATCCGTGGCGTAGCAAAAACTTCCGCTAAAGGTATTTAAATTTTAAACAAATCAATAATTGTTTTGTCGATGAATAGTATAACAAATTTCTTAAATCAAAGCTATGCAACATTTTAAATCAAACTACACAACGTTAGCTAAATAATAAAAATATTTATAATAGAACTACAATTTTATAAATCAAAATTAACATTAAAAAAGATAACAACTAATTTTTTACTAATAAAAATAAGCATAACATCAAAGGAAAGAGAGGGTCGAGAGGATTTGTAATATGTAGAGAGCTTTTGTTGAATAAATATTTTTGTAGAGCTTGACTTTCAAATTACAAATTTTATTTAAGAAATAATTATTAATTAAAATTTTACTTTTAGGATTAGTTGTTTATTGGAAAAATGACATTGTATAGACGTTGTAAAAATAATAGCCGAAACAATGTATTAAATTTGTATATTTTTTGTATATATATATACATTATATATGGTATATACAAAATATATACACTTTTCGGCTACCAGACGTAAATAGTTTCTGGTGCGGGCTAAAAGTGACAATACCCCTTGTTTATTTTACACAAATTTTAAGTTTAAGTGTTATTTTATTAGAAAAAAAATTAGATTGAGAAAGAGTCAAATATACCGCACGCATGGTGATATCCTTTTAGTTTTGGCAAACAAAATGGGCAGATAACTCTGAACCCGTGAACAATATATTACTTTGAACATCCTGGACTACCTCACTCAATTGTGTTAAGGGTGTTCAAAATATAATATATAACCATGTAAAGTAGAATTTAACTTATATACACAGTATAGTTTTTTCCGCCCTTGACATAGTGTGGCTACGCATATGGGTGTACATTGATCAGGTTGATTCGATTTTTATTACAAACCAAACCAAATCAATTATATCAGTTTGGATTGGTTCAGTTTTGCCGGATTTTTTGGGGGTTTCGTTATATAAATATTATTTCAATCTTACTTTGTTAAAATTTTTATAAGTAAATATATGTTTAGTAAAAATTGACAAAATTGACAAACGTATGATCTATTAACATATTCTTATGGGAAAAGTTTCTTATTAACATATGATAGTTATTTTTTTTAGTCATCTCACAATATATAAGTTTTTATTGTTGTACACTTTCAAGGTTAATAGAATTTAATAATTAAATATCAAATCAATATGATACCTATATAATAATGTGTTCTATTTAATTTTATATTATCGAAATACCACTTTAAATTCGAAAAAAGATATAAGAATGTAATAGACCTTGACATATGAGTATGGAAGAACAAAGAGATTGACGCATTTCACTAACACTTGATAAGAAAGTGATCATACAATCTATTATCTAAAGTTAATAAAGATAGAGCACTTCATATTTTACTAAATATTACATCCCATAAGAGAATATTAAATATTTATATATATATTTTTAAAGAAAATTCTTTGAAAAGTATATATAAAAATTATATATTTATATGTCGGTTTGGTTCGAGTTTTTTTACTCAATACCAAATCTAATCGGATTTTTTCATCGATTTAATTTGACTTTTCGATTTGGTGTGGTTTTTCGGTTCGATTTACACCCCTAGCTATGCCACTGTGCCCAATGGTCATTATCACAAATGGGATAAGTACAATATTCTGATGTTACGTTGGATGTAATTGAGTTTAAGAAAAAAAAAATGAAAAACCTTTAGGTACGTATTAAAAGTATCCATTTATGTCCTAAACATGCCATTGATTTTTCTTGCTAGCTATAAAAGTATATCATTAAAGTTAAAATATGAAGTTTGAAGTTAAAAAAATTTTAAATATAAAGAATATATCATTCTTTTTAAAACAGACAAAAAAGTATATCATATAAAATAAAACAACGAAAGTATTAGTTTTGACATAATCATCAAAGATGCAAAGCTATACCTTCATAAAGGATGGTAAGTTCAGCGCCAAAAATTATATATCATTATCTATATAAGTCAAATATTACCTTTTATACATATAGAAACTTTAACAATCTTAAACACTATTTCAAAATACATGACTACCTTTGAATTCATTAATATCATTGTTGTTGAATGCATGGCGATCAAAGAATAGGATACACTATCGCCGGAGATAGAATACTAATGATAAAAAGGCAGCCTCAACAAACAAATGGAAGAAAAAAAAAGTTTAATGCATTTTTACAAAAATGGCCTTTACAAATATGACATGATCAAACAATAACATCACCAATACCACATCACTATACAACGTAGTACTAGAGAAATTTATGGTTAATGAAAAAGTTCAATCAACGTATTCAGCTATTCGTTTCAAGTTAGGTACGCCAAACAAAAAGAAAAAAGAAGTAGGTATTAAAATATTTTACACTAATCCAAATGTCAAATGTTCCCAGTGTTTGAATACTAAGATAATTGGTTGTCTCTGTAGTACTTTAATGAAAAGGTTCAATCAACTTATTCAGCTATTCGTTTCAAGTTAGGTACGCCAAACAAAAAGAAAAAAGAAGTAGGTATTAAACTATTTTACACTAATCCAAGTGTCAACTGTTCCCAGAGTTTGAATACTAAGATAATTGGTTGGCTCTGTAGTACTTTAGACCTAATTTATGAATATCAAATTAGACTACTTTTCAAGTCCACATGCGAGTAATAATAGATAACATACTTAATTAACGTACTAATTGAAATTATAGGTCCACATCTAACTAAGCCTCCTTAGCCGCCTGCCTCTAGTCCACACTTCTATTCGGAACATAAAACATCCAAGGGATGTGGTTTGAGAAAAAAAAATTCTCCACCTTAACAACACCAACAACAACCCAGTATAATCTCACTAGTGAAGTCTGGGGAAGGTAGTTAGTACGCAAACTTTATCCCTGCTCTTGGAGTAACTCGAACTCACAACCTCTTGGTTGAAAGTAAAGGATGTTGACCCTTAGAGCAACCCACTCTTGTCGTGTTGGAGTTGGAGTTAGTAGTGTTAAGTAGGCTGAATTTAGTAGTATTAAGTAGTCCAGATGGGCTGCCCCATATGTAATTATGTTATTCTTATTTCTGCCCATTAAGTGAACGGCCCAATGGTATTATGTACATATGAGACCCTTTTATAATGGATTAGCTGAAGATTTCATTTTTGGAAATAATACGTTTATATTTTCTCTCAAGATATCTCTCTGTACAGATACACTAGGGCTCGAACATTTGCTTGTCAATGTTGATTATCTCTAGATTCACTTGTTAACATGGTATCAGAGCCAGGGGATGAGATAATCGGCGTTGGATATGTTGCACATCGATAAGAAAAAAAATTTGGTTTACGATTTCGTCGAAGCTGTTCGCGTTTCTGATTGTGGTGGAGATTCAATTTTTTCGGTGATCTACTGTTTCTGAGCCTTCAGTGAACATTTTCGGTTGTTATCTGGTTTGATTTCTGTCAAAGTCTTTGTTTTTTTTTAGAGATTTGAGGCAAATTCATTGATTTTTCTCCTAATTTGAAACCCTAATTTTTTATTTCTATCAAATTCTGCTGTACTTTCTTTTGCTATGGGTTCGACTGTTGAGGACATGTCTATTAGTTATGGTGTAACTGATAATTCTACTATAACACCTTCATCTCCATTATATCTTCTTCCGTCTGGCTCATCTGGTACAATTTTGGTGAACACGACTTTTGATGGCACTGGCTATGGAAGTTGGCGTCGAGGAATGTTATTAGGCCTCTCATGTAATAATAAACTGGGGCTGATCAATGGGACAGTTGCACGACCTAGTTCTACCTCTCCTTTGTTCGAACCTTAGATTAGGTGTAACGATATGGTTGTAGCCTGGATCCTGAATAGTTTAGATAGGGAAATCAGGGAGACTGTGATGTACACTGAAAGTGCTGAAAAACTTTGGAAGGAGATTGAGCGTAGATTTGGTCAAGCTAGTGGAATTAAGATTTTTCAGATTTATAAGAAAATTTTCTCGATTTCCCAAGGTTCTTCAAGCATTTCATCATATTTTAAAAGAATTAAAAAGCTTTGGGATGAGCTTTCTTTCTCTGTATCATATCCTGATTGTGTTTGTGGCTTCAAGGAGACCTACCAAAGGTTAGATGAAGAACAGAAGGTTCATCAATTTTTAATGGGTTTGAGCGAATCATATTCCACTATTAGGAGAAACATACTTATGATGAAGCCTTTACCTGATGTGGATAGTGTGTACTCGATGCTCATTAATGATGAGAGCGAGTCTGGTATTCAAGCTCATGTTCCATCTCTCAATTCTGATTTTCTTGCTTTCTATGCTGGTGTTCAGAAGCCATACTCTCAGAGAGTTAATTTTGACTCTCAAAAGGCTAGTTTTGACCCTTCCAGAAAGAACAATATTATTTGTCGATATTGCAAGAAGCCTGGTCATCAGATTGACAAATGCTACAAGCTTCATGGTTATCCTCCTGGTTTTCAGATTAAGTTCAAACGGACTGCAGCATTTGCTCAAGTGTCAGATTCTCAACCTATTGGACACTCTGAAAATTCTGCTGGTGATACTAAAATAGTTCAATCTGATGGTGGAAACTCCAGTATAACCAAGGAACAATTTGATCAATTGTTGAGTCTTCTGCATTCTCGTACTTCTAGGACATCACAAGAGATTTCTGTTGGTTCTGCTAACTTTGCAGGTCTGATAGATAATCCTAATTTCAAATCCTGTGGTTTGCTTGCTTGCAATTTTTCTAGGGTAGAAGATAGTCCTTGGATCATAGATTCAGGGGCAACCCATCACATGACCCCACACTCTTCTTTTCTAACTGACATTAAACCTTTAGTCTTACCTTATCTTGTCACTTTACCAAATGGTTATAAGGTAAAGGTGACTTGCACAGGTACTCTTACCTTGTCCCATGATATATCTCTAACTCATGTTCTCTTAGTGCCCTCCTTCTAGTATAATCTCATTTCCCTTGCTCAACTAGTTTTAAAACTGAATTGTTTGGCTTATTTATCCTCTATTGCTTGTGTTTTGTAGGGCCCTTCTTTGAAGAATCCAGTGGCTCTTGGTAGTCTTCATAATGGGCTCTACATCCTCAATCCTGTAAACCTTGTTGCATCTGAGTCTACTTTTCATCCTTCATTTGTAAATACCATTACTGCCTCCACTTTGCATGATTTGAATAAGAGTAGTAGTTCTACTTCTAATCTTGAATCTTTAGTTCCAGGACAATTCAAAATATTTATATCCTAAAAAATTGAATTAAAAAATCAAAATTCAGTGACTAATTCTTAAATAGCAGTCATTTAAAGTGATTATCTAATGTTAAAAATTTACTAAATAAAAAATATAGATTTCTAACAGTTGTAGTAGTATCTTGAGCTCGAATCCATAATATTCAAATTTTAGATTCACCTCCGAGTGGAACTATATATATGACATTACTCAAAACAAGGTGGATTATATAAAAACTTGTTAAAATTATTATAGATGGACAAGGCCTCAATACTTGAAAGAGCAACCAGTCTCATTAGACAACTACGTGAAAGGCCAGAAACAGTACTGCAATGTCATTTAGAGACCAAAACCAACAATGAAAAAGGAGCTCCTGCAGTGAAGAAGGCAAGAATAAGTTTACCAGAAGTTGAAGTAAGAAGTTTAGAAGAGGAGGTGCTAATTACAGTCTACTGCAAGAAGAAATATACAGGAATTATTGATGAAATATTAAGTGTTATTCAGAAGCTTCATCTTACTATCAAAAGCAGCAATTTCATGCCATTTGGCAGCACAGCAATGCATATCACAGTTATTGGTCAGGTCTGATTATTAATATTTCCTAAAATCATCTTGTATTTCAATTTGTTACTTGGTTTAATGTACGTATTTCAATTTGTTATATTCACATATTTGTTTTTTACTTCTAATTTTTTTACAGATGAATGACGAGTTGTGTGAGACAACAGATTGTCTTGCTGAGAAATTACGACAGTCAATACTCAAAATGTAGAGATAATTTGGTTTACAGACAAGCTAGCCATGAAACGTTATTATGTGAATAGTGATAATTGAATTGTTTGTATTTTATATTAAAGTATGTTGATCGCAGTTAAAATAATAAATCATGTGTTTGGTTAGTTTTATTATCAAAAGTACCCTTGGCATATTTATATTGCTTTATCAATATTAATACTGAGCGTTATTATCATTATGTAGCTTATAAAATAATCTGTAAACCGCAATTAAAAATAAAGAGCAATTTCAAGAGAAATTTAAATTGAGGTATACGAGATAAATAAGTAAGTAAATTTTACATTCCTTTTTTAAACATGAAAAATTCATGTTAAAGTACTTCCATTTTTTGTTTAAATCGATGCCATTAATACTATTTACAAACGTATGGAGAAAATAATAGTCATTTCACAATCATCATATATATATATATACACTATACTATACTATAAGCATGAAGTCCCAATATAAAGATTGAATTACAAAAAACTCCTTCAAAAGTTAATTGACTATTATAACCTCGAATTAAATGTTAAATTTTAGCTGCAATGAGACTTTAGCCCCAATATAATTTATTGCTACCGTGGAATTATCTCAACGTAAATTTTTTTCCTCTTAGCTATGGACCTTTTGTTTGCTTTGTCATCATGCTTTCTCCATAGGTTAAGAAAGCCATCAGACAAACTTTTAAAAGAATAAGTAATTGAAAAACAGTAACGTTGTAAGTTTAACAGGTAAGATTATTCTGTCTTCCTAAGAGTATCTATGAAACTGTATATTAGTATTGTTTATGCAAAATTTTATTAAGCAACACCATCTATTGTTATTTAGTCTATATTAGTGTTCATTTTATCTTTTTCCGAGAATCATATAAACTCTTATGCCATAAAAGAAGTTTTAAGCAGTAGAGTTTCTCTCTTCAACTTTCATTTCCTTTTGAGTTTTGTTTTTTTCCTTTTCAGCATTTTACATTTTGTGATCTGATAATTTGAAATTTAAGAAGGTTAATTTGATATGATGATATCTTTGAAATAATAAAATAAAATAAAATAAAAAGAAATATTCGAACTTGATTTCTTTTTTTTTGGTAAATAGCTTTTTTATTATCCAAAAAAAAGTATCATTTACAGCCTCTAGGCAAAGAGCAGACCTCTTGCACTCCTATTTACATCTGACAGCCCTTGGTTTAGCTATACTAACTATAGGAAAACAAAAAAATGTTCAGCTATCTCACTAAGGGTGTGAACTCAACAGACTCAAAGGATTGCGCCATTTCCTAAGGTTTTGTCCTTTAATGTGAATATGTACTGCTATTTCTCTACTTACTCTATCTTCATCATAGGTGCTTTTCTAGAACCTTAACAGGTTCCTCTCCCTCCATATGCCATAGACTGCCATTGCATATGCACAGCTAGTGATAGCTCCCAGTCCACTCTTCCTCTTGGCCATACTGCATACCCTTTGTAATTCATGTATAACATTACCTTTGTTCCCGATATTCCCAAGCCAGGTCAGTAATCTCAGCCACAATGCACTTGTAACAGGGCATTCAAAGAATAGATGTGCATGAGTTTCAATACCACCATAACAGAAAACACAAGCCATAGGAGCTTGTATGTCTATCATCTGCAGTCGATCCACTACTGCCAATCTGTTTTGCACTGTTAACCATAGGATAAATTTCACTCGTTGATGGATGTTCTGCTGTAGTGTAAGGCTTTTCCAGGGGACTTTGGGGCGACGAGGAATCAGATGCAGGTACATCTTTTTAATAGAGAAGGAACCATCCATGTTCTGCATTGTTCCTAACTTTGCAAGTAAGTCTCCTTGTACCACAACCTGTTGCATAACCATATCTCGAGTTTCTATAATCTTCCTAACTACCAAAGTTGTTGTCTTAGGTATAGGGCAGGAGTCAAGAGTTTGTTTCTTGATGTAGTAGTTGTGTACCCACTTTATCCAGAGGCAGTCCTTTTTCTGTACAATTGACCATAACTGATTTATTATTGCAGCCTTGTTCCATATACATAGATTCAGGACATTCAAGCCTCCAGCTGCTTGTGGTAAACACACTTTGTCCCAAGACACTAATACTTTCTTTGATAAATTTATCATTCTAGTCCATAAGAAGGTTCTACATAGACTCTCAATAACTTTCATTACCTTCTTTTGTATCACAAAGATTTGTGCCCAGTAAGTTTGTATTTCAAATATTACAGCTTTTACCAACTAAAGTATGCATGCATAAGAGAGGATTTTGGCAGACCAACACTTCATCCTAGTAGTAATCCTTTCAATAAGAGGCAGACATTGAGCCACTGAAAGTTTTTAGATGACAATGGAACCCCTAAATATTTGAAAGGTAGATCACCCAAGGAATATCCCAAGAGCTAGACTATGTTTTGTTTAATGTCCTCTTTCACACCAGCTATATAATGTAAAAATCCATCAGAGACTGGTGTAAAGTGCGGTCCGCACATGAATTATGCGGCTGCAAAAACTGGGCCAGGAGCAAAGTTTAGAGAAGATGCATTTCAGGTCTCCCAGAAGTGCGGACCGCACAATAATTGTGCGACCGCATAAGAAGAGCTATGCAATCGCAGTTACAATTGTGCAGACTGCAGAAGAGCAGGATGCGGCCGCAGTTACAATTGTGTGGACCGCAGAATGAGTGTATCGCGGTCGCAGTTCAAAATTATGTGTCCGCAGACTTCCAATCCAGTCAACTTGAAGAAAAGTGAGGACCGTACATGGAATTGTGCGGCCGCAGAACCTCTAAAAGGACATTTTTGTCAGAAATATCCAGTCTTGCATAAATAAAAGAGTTTCACTTTTTTAGGTTAACTTTTGAGATCAGCTGCAACAATAGCAATTTCCTTTTACCTTTTTTAGTCGTTTTTCATATTTTGAGCTATTTTAACTTAGATTCTATCATTTTAATCTTGCAATATGTGTTTAGTTATCATTTCTTTTTCTATTTATTCCATTTCAAACATGAGTAGCTAGATTTTTACTAGAGTTGTGATTCAACCCTAGTGTGTAAACTTAATGGGTGTTTTATTTAATGTTTGTTTATGGTTGGTGTTTATTATTTAGCCTTGGTTTTCATTCTATTCGTGGAATTAGTGGTTGCAAATATTAGTTCATGCCTATATGACTTGGTCTTTACTTGAGAAAGAGAGACTTAGTCTAGGGAAAAATGACTAACAAGAAATTGGGTCAATCGAGAGATTGTTAATCCAAATTAAAGGGTTCAACCTAGAGATAGTAATAACTCGACTTGAGATTTTATCAACCATTTTATTCAATACCCATTTGGACTTGAGAAGGCCAAATTTGACAAAATCACCCTCTGACCAAGAGGTATTCAGTGGGTAATTGAGTATTGAAAGCTATAATACACCCAGATCAATAAAACAAATATTAAGGTTTATATCCCATTAGGCAAACACCTAGGTGATGGCCATAGACCTAGGCTTTTTACAAAACTTGAAAACAACAACAAAAACAATCTCTTAGATTTATTTCTCAACTTTTCAATCTTAGATTTAAATTAGACTTTAAAACAACCCCATTTTGTGAAAGTGTAAATTGAGATAGTTAAACTCACACGCTACAATATATATCCCTAACTCTCATATATATCTCCCTACGAAATTCGACCCCGACTCTTATTGGGTATTATTATTGTATCGACCATTTTCATAACCTTTAATTGAGGTGTGAAATTAGACGAGATCAATTTTTGGCACCATTGTCGAGGAGCATAAAACGGTGTTAGCTATATATTTAGGTGTATTTTTTTGAATATCTTCTTTTCCTTCTTTGTTACTAACGTGTTGAGAAATTGTAGGTGCAATCGTGGCAAACAATGAGCTCAGAACCTTACCTTTAGGGGATGTGGACGTTGAGGATGAATAAATGGATGAGGTCCCTCTTGAACCTCAAGCCAATAGACGAGGTCGGGTGCCTCATGACAACGTGCCCGCTCCACCCCCACCTCTACCATGAGTGGCTACACACTGGGTGTTGTTGAATGAAGGGTATGCAATTGCTATAGTCCCTCCCCGTATTAGGGTGGGCAAATTTCAAATAACCAGCGTGATGCTCACTTTTCTCGAGCAATGAATGTTCTTCACCGGTGCACCGGGTCAAAATGCATATAAACACTTGAATGGGTTTGTAGATACGTTTTGGGGGGTCAAACAAACAAATGTCTCTGAGGCTTTTTCCCTTCTCTCTATGGGAAAGAGCTTTCCCCCGTAGAGAGAAGGTGAAAATGTCTAAGGCTTTTTCCCTTCTCTCTACGGGGGAAAGCTTTAGATTGGTTGGAATATTTTCCAAATTATTCTATTCATACTTGGGATGAACTAGCGGAGAAATTTATCTCTAAGTACTTCTTTCTCGGGCACATGGCTATTCTTCGGGATGAAATTCTAGTATTCAAGAAAGAGCCCAATAAACCACTACACGAGATATGGGAAAGGTATAGAACAATGGTGAAATAGTGCCCCAACAAACTTTCTATCGGGGGATCAATACAACCAACCAATGTGTAGTGAATTAACTTGCCGGTGGGAACTTTTTGACTACGCCTTATGCGGAGGTGTGTGATATCTTGGATGAGGGGGTCCTAATGTAATTCACCTTTACAAAGAGTTGCATGATCATGGATAATCAATAGCCGAGTTGAATACCACCATGAACCAACTGGCAAAGGCTAAACTTCAATAAGTGAAAAACCCAAGGCAAGTCAATGCCATGGAGGGAGTAAGTATGATGGTGAACAAGCGAAGAACAAAAAGTCCACAAGTGCAACAAAGAGTGGATAATGTTTTGCAAGATGATAGTGGATTTGATCCAGATGAATCTTACAATAACCAAAAAGAGGAGGTCCAATATGTGAACAACTTTCAAGGTCAAAGAAATAATTTCCAAGGCTCAAGACAACAATAATGGAGAACTCAAAATAATCAAGGATGTTGGAATTCTCACAACCAAGGAAAATAAAGTGGTGGAAACAATCAAAGCAATTGGAATAACAACAACAGTCAAGGCAATTGGAGTGGAAGCACTAATCAAGAGAATTGACATAACAACAATAACAGAGGCACTAGGGTAGGCAACAATTAAGGCGGGTGGAATAACAATCAAGGAAATCGGGGTTCAGGTTTTCAAAGGCCCCCGATGTATCAACAACAGAGAAACCCACCTCCCTATACTTCCCATGGTCCTAGTTCTTCCAACAATGAAATGGGACATATTGAGAACATGTTCAAGCAAATGATGGAAAAGAATGTTAATTCTGATGCCCAACTTTCTTCACACAACACATCGATCCGAAACTTAGAAGTGCAAATAGGGAATATCTCTCAAGCTTTAAATTCTCGTCCTTAAGGGGCAGTACCAAGTGACATGGTGGTGAACCCAAAGGGTGGTAACAATACGGGGCATTCCACGGCCGTTACTACAAGAAGTGGAAAAGGTGAGAATGCACCCACCTCAAGTCAAAGGCAACTTGTGGACGATGAGCAAGTGGTAAAAGAAGAGGAGATCCCGAACAATGTGGTGCAAGCAAATGCTGAAGTGCGAATTGATATTGATGACATTGTGTAAGAGACTCAAGAGGAAGTGAACCCGTCTAGGAATCATGTTATTGATATACCGGAACCGGTAGTGAAAAAGGCTAAGACATCATTTCCTAAGCCACCTCCTCCATATCCTCAAAGTCTTTCCAAGCAAAATGGTAAGAATCAATTCAAAAGGTTCATTGACATGATGAAGAGTCTCTTGATAAATGTTCCATTAGTTGAAGCCTTGGAGAAAATGCCCGATTATGAAAAGTTTATGAAGGACTTGGTGACAAAGAAGAGGTCGATGAATTTTGAAACTATCAAATTCACTCATTAAGTGAGTGCAATTGTGCATTCGATGTCTCCTAAATTGGAATATCCCGGTGCTTTCATAATCCCTTGTACCATTGGGAGTGCCGATTTTGCAAAATCTCTTTGTGATCTTGGGACGAGTATCAATTTGATTCCCTATTCGGTTTTTAAGACCTTGGGAATTGGGCAACCAAGACCCATATCTATGAGATTACAAATGGTCGATCGTACAATGAAGAGACTGTTGGGGGTGATTGAAGATGTCTTGGTTCATGTTGATAAGTTCATTCTCCTGGTGGATTTTGTTATTTTTGATTGTGAAGTGGACTATGAGGTGCCAATTGTTCTTGATAGACCTTTCCTTACTACGAGGAAGGCTCTTGTAGATGTGGAAGCCAGAGAACTCACTTTCCGGCTGGGTGATGAAAAGGTGGTGTTCCAAGTGTGCAAATCTATGTGACAACCAAATGGCAATGAAGTGTGTTCTTTTGTGGACTTGGTGACTGATGTGATTATTGATGATACAAGTGCCACAATTAATGTGGGCGATATGTTGGAGGCTATCTTGCTCAACTTTGATGATGACGAGATGGATGGATTCATGGAATGTATCAATTCTTTGTAAGGAATGGGGTCATACAACTAAGAACCACGGAAACTTTCCTTGGATCTCGAGAATAGGAAAACTCCTCCTACAAAGCCTTCAATTGAAGAGAATTCTATCTTGGAGTTGAAGCCATTTCCTCCACATCTCAGGCATGAATTCTTTGGCCCTTGTTCTACTATACTGGTTATTCTTTACTCTTATTTGAATAATGTGCAGGTTGACTCTACATTGGCGGTGCTCCATAAGAGGAAGATGTCAGACAATCAATTGAACATCAAAGGAGACTCAATAAAGCCATGCAATATGTGGTCAAAAAGGAGATCATCAAGTGGTTAGATGTCGGGGTTGTCTATCCCATTTTC